CCAGCTCTTCAAAGGGACAGGTTTGTCACCTCAGGTAACACTGAAGATATTAACTGTTTCCACAGTAAAAATTCGCTTTGCTAATACAGGGTTTTCATGAGGGAAAACAGTGTAATTTGGTATTGGGTGTTCAGCTCGCTTCAAAAGCTGCAGTAACACCCTATTGATTTCGTTTTAAAACCTCTACATACCGATTTTAAAAAATGGGAGTCCAGCAGGGCTGTGCGCATGGGAGCTCTTCAGTGTGGTTTGTCCTCAGCAGCAGGCTCGTCACGGCTGTCCCCAACGCTCTGGTGACAGGCCATGGCTACCTGCTGGGTTTATACTGCTGCGTAGCTGCAGTGATCAGCCCGGGTGAGGCCAGCTCATCTTCTGCCAGAAGCACCCAGAAAGGTTTCTGTATCAGAAAGGCAGCTTGCCTGCACCATTTGGTTGCCCAGGCAGCCGGGGTAAGCTATAGCTGGCACCTGCATTTGAACCTACGCTTCCATTACGGTCAGGAGAGCTGCTCTGCTCCTGCTGAGAGCGAAGCCTGTAACAGGAGCCCACAGGCAGGTACCTAAATTTAGACACAGCTTGGAGCTGAATTCCATCCTCCATGTGAAGTGTATCCCCCTCCACCAGTACACTCGAGTATAAAGGAACACCAGGGAATTTCTTCAATTCCCACACCACCACATCCAGTGACACAAGCAACAGGCGTCCACCTCATTTAGACACAGCTTGGAGCTGAATTCCATCCTCCATGTGAAGTGTATCCCCCTCCACCAGTACACTCGAGTATAAAGGAACACCAGGGAATTTCTTCAATTCCCACATCCAGTGACACAAGCAACAGGCGTCCACCTCATTAGAAGGTAGGGAGAGAAGTGCGGTTGCCCTGGGCAAGGTGGCAGGGCTGACGCCAAGTCCATTATTTTTCTCTTCCAGACCTCCGACACACCTACGCGCTTACTTTTGCAAACGGCACTCGAAAAGCTTACCAAAAGGAACAAAAGAGACGAGCTTGTGCACTGTGAAAAATGCTTTAATGGTGCCTGTACAGCATTTGAAGTGACTTTGAGACAGGAAGAGGAACACAACACAGACAGAGAAGTTTTGAGTGAAAGAGTTCATACAGCTTTAAACAAAATTTACAGGTGTTCATCTGCATAGCTTTTACTCTGCCTCTTCCTCAGCCTCCTCCTCAAACTCCCCCTCCTCCTCAGCTGTAGCATCCTGGTACTGCTGATACTCAGACACCAGGTCGTTCATGTTGCTCTCGGCCTCTGTGAACTCCATCTCGTCCATGCCCTCGCCAGTGTACCAGTGCAGGAAAGCCTTTCGGCGGAACATGGCGGTGAACTGCTCAGAAATGCGTTTGAACAGCTCCTGGATGGCTGTGCTGTTACCAATGAAGGTGGCAGACATTTTCAGGCCACGAGGTGGAATGTCACAGACCGCCGTTTTAACGTTATTAGGAATCCATTCAACAAAATAGCTGCTATTTTTGTTCTGAACGTTCAGCATTTGCTCATCAACCTCTTTCATTGACATACGGCCTCTGAACACAGCAGCTACGGTCAGATAGCGGCCGTGACGTGGGTCACACGCAGCCATCATATTCTTTGCATCAAACATCTGCTGTGTTAGCTCTGGCACAGTTAAAGCACGATACTGCTGGCTCCCACGGCTCGTGAGTGGGGCAAAACCAGGCATGAAAAAGTGCAAACGGGGGAAGGGAACCATGTTCACTGCCAGCTTCCGCAGGTCAGCATTAAGCTGGCCTGGGAATCGCAGGCAGGTGGTAACACCGCTCATAGTTGCCGACACTAAATGGTTCAGATCACCGTACGTTGGAGTAGTTAACTTCAGTGTTCTGAAGCATATGTCGTAGAGGGCTTCGTTATCAATACAGTATGTTTCATCTGTGTTCTCCACAAGCTGGTGCACCGAGAGTGTGGCATTGTAGGGCTCTACTACAGTATCTGATACTTTAGGGGAGGGCACAACACTGAAAGTATTCATAATTCGGTCTGGGTACTCTTCACGAATTTTGCTGATGAGGAGGGTACCCATGCCAGAGCCTGTACCACCACCGAGAGAGTGAGTAAGCTGAAAGCCCTGGAGACAATCACAGCTTTCTGCCTCCTTTCTTACAACATCTAATACAGAATCAACTAATTCAGCACCTTCCGTATAATGGCCCTTTGCCCAGTTGTTTCCTGCTCCGCTCTGACCTGGAAGAGAGCCATTTTCGTATTAGATTATGGTCACTGCTTTCTGCTTATTGCTTGCAAGCAAAGCTTAGGAGCATCAGGCTACAGCGAAACCCCACAAAAGCTTTCATTTTATCGAGTGCAGAGCTGTGGTTTCACACAAGCACCTCTGAGATGGCTCGGCAGATACACGGAAAACATTCACTATCAATGATACAGCAGCCATTTAATTTCTCCTGATACTATGGAGGAGGTAAGGAGAAGCGGAAGAGCAACGACCTCTTGTGCCTTCTCGGACCTGCTCTCCCAGCAGCTGCCATCATGCACCATCCGCAGATCCCCGGTATTTCATGCCCGTCATGAAGCGCCAGGATTAACCCCCCTCCCGGGGCCGCGCTTGCCTCAGGAGCATGTGCGGCGGTGAAGCCCGCAGTGCAGCGTCCCTGCCCTGCCCACCCC